TAGAAGTCCAGGCACTCTCAGGATACAAAAAGGCAAATTTATTGAACCAACTGCAACGTTTCGACCTACACGGTCTTTGTCAAGCTTGACAAAGACCGTGTAGGTTGAAACATTGCAGTGGGTTCAATAAATTTGCCTTTTTGTATCCTGAGAGTGCCTGGACTTCTTCTATTTTTTCTCAACACACAAAGTTACAGACAGTTTCTCTCATACACACAGTTACAGACAGTTTCTTACACACACACACACACACACACACCTCTTTCCATTATGGGCTGGCAGTGTGAGCAGGGGAACTGCAGTCCCTGGTGTATAGGTGTCTGGAGAGCAACGACTCCTTCCTGCTTTCCCTCATAGTGTTCAAACGTTCCGGCTGCATATAGCTCCGTCCCCGCTCGTGCAGCTCCGTCCCCACCATTCTTGAAGCGTCGCCCCCTTCCTTATCCATTAGCTCTGGCTGGAGGATAATTTAATCCCCCCAGCGGCCACTGTCCATAAAGCACTCCTGCATTAAAGAGCTCTGTGTACTCCCTCACACCTCTCACCCAGGGAGTGTGTAAGCTGTGCTGGCCACATGATGCCCCCTGTTGCCATGGCACCCTGCGTGACCACACAGCTCGCACACCCCTAAGGCCGGCCCTGTAGCCAGCATACAGACATTACATAAAGCCAGGGCACACTACACATATGACCAGCATCAACCACAGTCTTCACTCTTTGCAAGGAAATTACACACAGCCAGCCCATACTGCACACATATGACACACAGCCAGCCCTCACCGCACATACATCAAACACAGCAAGCACACATAACACAGAGATTACTGAGTGAGCTCAAACAGCACACAGATGAAACACAGCAAGCACACACTGCACACACTATGAAAAGGGGGAGACTATGGGAGGTCAGAGGGTAAGACCCTCAGGATAATTTGGAAGAATCTAAAATTTATGCAGTATTCAAATGGCAAAACGGAGGCAAAAATGGTCATGTTGTGAAATACCATTGTCTACGCCTCACCCAATTAGTGGCATGTCCCACCCTCACCCCTTAGATGGCCAGTCTCCTAGCTAACCCCATTAAAAATATAGAATCCAAACTATCCTCTCACTTTTTCAGTAGAAATGTATTAAACAAGGGAACTGTTATTCATCAGTTTTCTATACACAGTATACACCGATAGACTAGTTTGGAGCCTTTAATTCATGAAGTCATAGGTTTATTCATTAATAAAATCAAATTAGTAAATTACACCTCAGTTGATTCAGCTCTATCCACATCAGACTCAGCACTAATTAACCAATTCACTAACCAGTAAACAGCTTTGTGCTGTCCTAATATTCTTCTGAATCCCTGTTGACATTACTGAGAATTTACAGAGAACAGTAGGGAAACCACATGGTGTTTTTTTTGTAATTATACTGTGCATTATTCAAATATGACATCAAAACATTTAAAGTAATTCCATATATACACATTTAATCTGTAGTGTTGCTTGTAAGTTTTAAATGTACCCTATGCCATATGAAACAAGGTATTTCCATAATTTTCCTTTGCACAATGCACACAAATATATCATCAATATATCTCCACTGTTTTACGTGTTTGATCACAAAAAAATGTCTATTGAACTCCATCAGCTTAGCTCCACTAAGAGAGGGAAATATTTAGAGTTTGTATTGGATAGCTGTCCCATAATTTATACAGGATGAGTTTTTGGGAGAATGTGCAGAAGTGCATAGATAAGAAAATAAACCACTCATTGAGTTTAAATTACAGAAACAATAAACAATAAATGCACACGTGAATACTGGAGAGTGACCATTTCCTTGTGCATGGCTTTTCATTCATGGTTTACAGTGGAAAAGAACATACATCTATATTTGCATATGTTTTAACCTCTCTGCATTTCTCTTTTGGTCATTTTGTGCCGTTTATAGGAAACATAGAGTTTTCAAAAAGAAACTTATCAGATCAACAATTATGAATGATGTCAGATTCTTCACTATACTGCTATACCCACACTATACTCTGTGCACACATTACACCCCGTATGCACACACACTGTACTCACTATATACAGAAATACAGCACCTATATATATATACACTATAGCTCCTTATACACATACACACTATAGTTTCATAATACACACATATAATTAAATCTCTCTACGTATATACGAACAATGTAGCCCCTATATACTAACACTACAGCCCCTACATACACACATTATAGTCCCCATCCACTCATTTACTACCGGCCCCTGCCAACACCCATACATATTTTACAGCACCTAGACACATACACAATCTCTATAGTCCATAGACAAGCATTCATACAAACACACAAACATAGTAGCCACACAAAGTACACCACAGACAGACTCCTTTACAAACACACTACACCACACTCAACCTCCTTAACACACATGCAATCCCACAGACAGCCTCCAAACACATGCACAGCATTATTTACCTGCCTATATATATGGGGCCTGAAAAGATGCTGATCAGCACTGCATTATGAGATCGTGAGCTTGTTTGAGCAGTTCCTTAATCACCTATAAATGTACCATTTCTGTCATTGCTAATAAAAATAATACTAAGAAAGAGATCTCCCTCTCATGCTGCAGTCACAGAGTGCACACAGAGCTCTCTGTACTGTGTAAGCTGGAGAATCCCTGCTGATGTCAATACAGTTAGGTTTAGGGACAGGGTTACTATTAGGGTTAGGGTTAGGGTTAGGGATAGTATATGGATATGGTTAGAGTTGGTTTAGGGTTAGAGGTGATGTAGAGATAGTGTAAGGGAAAGTGTACAGTTAGCATAGGTGTATCATTAACTAACCAAAAAAAATATTTAAATCATAAACGTGAGGCATTAAGCAATCAGGACTGATATGTGGATGTCTTTTTTTACTTGCACATGATGTGTAAAAATTATTATAAGCAAAACTATGAATTTAGTTTTTTCCCCCTATGTTTTCACACTTTAACTTTTTATTCATACCTAATGTTGTGTTAGGTATACTTATAAGATATTGAAAAGTAAGCTATTAGCTATTCCTGTCCTGTAAGAAACAATTTTTAATATGCATTGGTGCACTTAAACAGAAATCCTTAAATTACATTGGAACAAACACATAATGCAAATTCTAGGTTTGTTTTAAGTTGGACAGTTACCAGCGTCCTTAAGGGATTTTATAGTGCCTTCTAGTCCCCCTTCCCACCTTCCGTGTTGTAAAAGGTTAAAAAACCTTTATATATTCATTTGGTTTCAGCGCTGATTTCCCTCGGCGCTGGGATGACACTTAACTTCCTCTGACGTTATCCAACAGGGGGACTAATACGCATGCACAGCGAGCGCTATAGCATACACACCAAGCCATTCCTATAGGAAAGCAGTGAATCAATGCTTTCCTATGGGGTTTTCACTGGTGCTGGATGTCCTCATGCAGAGCATGAGGACGTCCAGCGTCGTCCAGGAAGTGCCTCTAGTGGCTGGCTGACAGCCACTAGAGGCAGTCTTAGTCCTGCAAGGTAATTATTGCAGTTTCTTTAAATTGCAGGATTAAGTGGGACAGGGACACTGCACCCAGACCACTTTAATGAGCTGGAGTGGTTTGGGTGACTATAGTGTCCCTTGAAGCAGTTAAACTCACTTTTAAGAATAACCGATTTCAGCAGTACGACGCTGCTTAGTTAATTGACATATAAAAGTTACAAGTCTACTTTCATGTTTTCAATGTAATTTATTATAACAAGCACATTTTATTTGGGATACTGTTTAAAAAAAATAAAAGAATTAATAAAATAAATTCTTGTGTTGTTTTTTTTCCCTCCACAATAGCCTTTTTAAGAAATTAGCACTATTTACAAGAAAACACACTCCCATAGTGACAGTTGATGTGTTTGGAATTAATTCTATATATAGAGTTTGTGTCTTAGTACCATCTATTTGTCACCTAACATATAGCACATTGTTATTGATCTGATTTCCTGTTCACTGCAAAGATCAGCATAAAGAATAACAGTATGCAAGTTTCCCCAGAAAAAAATCCAGTATGATCTAATGCATTCATCAGCATAATTTTAAAAATCATATCACTTTCTAAAAATGATATCACGCATAGTGTTATTCATTAAGCTTTGAATTATGGAGGACTGTCAAATACATTTAAAATTCTAGGAAAAATTGCCAAATTGGAAACATTTATTTTCCAATTCAACCTAAAGTATTACTCCTACATTTAAATTAAATGTAGTCACCAAAACAACTTTAGCTTAATGAAACAGTTTTTGTGTATTGGTCATGCCCATGCAGTCTCACTTCTGAAATCTCTGCCATTTAGGCCTTAAATCACTCTTGATTCTGTTTAAACAGCCCTAGCAACCTCCACTGGCTGTGACTCACACAGCCTGCATGCCCCACTCGGCTTATAATCGAGTCAAGGTGTGTATTATGGCAACTTGCATTGCCATAATACAGACCAGGACCGCGGGCTCATTACAAGCCCAGTGGTCCTGTTGGGGGCTGGCCGCGAGCTCTTACTTACCTTTGTAGCAGCTCCAGTCAGCTCCCTGTCAGCTCCGTGCAGCTCCCCAGTTCAGCTCACAGTGTAAGTCTCGCGACACCCGCGGCCATCAGAGCGTTGCCACGGGTTACCGTGGCAAAGCTCGGCGCGGCACACAGGCCGCGAGACTTACACTGTGAGCTGAACTGGGGAGCTGACCGGAGCTGCTACAAAGGTAAGTAACAGTTTGCTCCGGCCCCCCCCCCCCTGCACAGCCCATCCACTGGACCACCAGGTAATGTTACAGCCCCGGGAGGGGTGCTGTAACATAAAAAAAATAATAATTAAAGAAATATTAAAATAATATATAAAAAAAATAAAAAAAAATTCCAATAATAAAAATGCCATCCCCCCACCCAGTTTACACACACACACTCTGCATTCACACACAGAGTGTGTGTGTATATAATGCAGAGTGTGTGTTTGTATGAGTGTGTGTGTATATAATGCAGTGTGTGTGTATATAATGCACACACTGCATTATATACACACACACACTCATACAAACACACACTCTGCATTATATACACACACACACTCTGTATTATATATACACACACTCATACAAACACACACTCTACATTATATACACAGACACTCTGCATTATATACACACACTGCATTCATTATATACACACTGCATTCATTATATACACACACTGCATTAACACAAACACACACACTCTGCATTCATTATATACACACACTACACACAAATACACACACACACTCTGCATTCATTATATACACACTACACAAACACACACTACACACACACACACACTGCATTCATTATATACACACACTACACAAACACACACCCACTGCATTCATTATATACACACACACTACACAAACACACACACTGCATTCATTTTATACACACACTACACAAACACACACACACACACACTGCATTCATTATATACACACACTGTAAATAAATATTCGATTAATGTAATTTTATTGGGATCTAATTTTATTTAGAAATTTACCAGTAGCTGCTGCATTTCCCACCCAAGGCTTATACTCGAGTCAATAAGTTTTCACAGTTTTTTGTGCTAAAATCAGGGGCTTCGGTCGACTTATACTCGAGTATATATGGTAATATTTTGATCTCCTGCTCTGTAAATTGAACTTTAATTACATACAAGAGACTCCTGCAGGGTCCAGCAAGCTATAAACAGAGCAGGAGACAAGAAATTCTAAATCAAGTGTAGGAAAGCTGTGTAGGTCACAAGCAGGGGAATGTGGCTGGGGCTGCATAAACAAAATTATTTGACTCTTAAATGGCAGAGAATTGAGCAGTGAGACTGCATTGGGCATGATCTATACACCGAAACTGTTTCATTAAGCTAAAGATGTTTTGGTGTCTATAGTGTCCCTTTTTAAAGGAACACTATAGTCACCTAGTCACCTTTTTTCATAAAATAATCTGCTAGATCAAGTCAGTTGGCGTGTCACATCATCTAATAACAAAGTCATAATCAAGTTCCTTGCAGCTGAACTAAAGTCTGAGTTCAGGTTAGTCTTAAGTGTTCAGGTTAGTCTTCAGGTTAGTCTTAAGTGCATTTTTTTTTAAGTGCATCTTTCGGAAGAGTCACTTGTAAAATGTGCAACCTTTTGACATGATTATATTGCATCAGCATCCCAGGATACTTTGAAATGAGAGTGATCTCGATGTTTTTGTCCTGGTAAAACATTTTCTAAACTAAATAGATGTATTCACGTGATATGAAATAAGAGTGTAGCAGTGTATACTCATATAACCAAAACATTCAATAGTACTCAATCACACCTTTGGTGCAGGTATCTGGGTCACTTCTAAAGACACACCATATAATTATAGAAGATACCAAAATGATACCACACTCGAGTGCAGCATCATTTTGGTATCTTCTGTAACAGAGTATAGTTATTATTTACTAAAGTGAGACTTTACAGAAAATACTTATTTCTCTCACTTGTCAATCAACTCTTCGGCATAGACTCCTGTGCTGAAAAACTGAGTTACAGGGAGAGCAGAAGACACAGGTGAAGATGCATTCCATATGAAAAATGCATCTTCACATGTTTCTCTTAATCCTTCCTTTATAATTTCTTGCCCTCTTTTGTGTGTCTTATCTCCTCTTTTGATTGTCTTAACTGCTTTAGTGTATATTATCTCCCATTTCCCCTCTTTGTGTGTGTTACACCCTTCTTGTGTGTCTCTTACAACCCCCCTATGCTTCATCCCACCCTCTTTGTGTGTCTTCCTCCCCAAGTTCCTTTCATGTGTCTTTCTGTCCCAGCCCCTTTGTCTCTTCCTCCCCATCCCCAGTCCTTCAGTTTGTCTCTTTCCTCCCCCTCCAGCACTTCTGTGTGTCTCTTCCCTAAGCCCCTCTGTCTCATTCTTCCCTTCACCAGCTCCTCCATGTGAATTATTTATCACCCCCCAGGCCCTCCATGTGTCTCATCCCCCCACCCCTTTTGACTGCCCTCTGCAAGCCTGCTCTCTGCTCTTCTCACCTCTGTCACGGACGGTAGGCAGCAAATTTTGGTAGTCTTTGCATATTTTTCTAAAATCCAATTTGTGTGTGGCAGCCAGAAGTTGAAGCTAATGGGACCAGAAGCTCTCACTCACAGGCAACTCCATCTACTTCCATCATCTACTTGTACTCAATCTGCCAAAAGCTGCATCTTTGCTGTATTCCCGCTTATGAGCAAGAATACAACACAGAGGTTTATGGAAGAATCCTCAACACCAGGGCAGCATATCACATGACTTGGTTGTGCACCAGGCAGTGGCTTTGGCACTCTGACCTCTTTTTTTCTTTATATTGGTATCCAGAGGGCAGAACAGAATCGAATTAAGACTTTGTATTAAAAAAAAAAAATCATAAACAAGTAAATTGTTGTTTCAAGTGTCAGTGCTCTTAATACACTAAATACATTGGTGTTCTGTTAATATAACTTTTTGTAGTTCTTGCAAATGCTAAAATACATGTAAAATAACTGTGCTTTATATTCTATATCTACTTCATCTTTCAGGCTGCATCCTGTTCATGAATCATCTTGCATGTTTTGGTAAGTACAAAGTATTCATTACTTCGGTAAGTAATGAAAACTATTTATATTAATTAATATCATACTTGGTTGTAAAAAATACATTGTAAAACAATAACTGGTTGTTAATAATTCACGTACACTGGGTTCAAAAGTTTGGGGTAAATCAGAATGTCCTTATTTTCCAAGAAAACATACATGCAATGAGTTTGAATAGGAAATATAGACATGAACAAGGTTAAAAATAATAGATTTTAAGTCAATAATAATTGTGTCCTTCAAACTTTGCTCTTGTCAAAGAATCCTCCATGTGCAGCAATTAGTCTTGCATTCTGTTGGACTTTTAGTTGTCAATTTGTTGAGGTAATCTGAAAATAATTCGCCCCATGTTTCCTGAAGCACCTCACGTACCATAAGGTCAAGTTGCTAACACAACAGCTCAATATGTTTGGCGATATGGTGACTCTGCTGGCTACTCCATTAAAGACAGAATACCATTGTTGCTGATCTTATATTATTCCCTTTGGTTGCCTGTATCTATCCCCAAGTTTCCCGAACTTGTCTGTATCCCCCTGTTTGTGGACCGAATTGAACATGTGTGGTGCCCTCTTTTATACCCTTTGAACACAGACAACCCCTGACTGTTACCTGCAAATAAGAAATTATGTAGAGTGCTTTTCCTGGATGGCCATTTTGTCTCCCGAACACAGGCAGCAGTACTTGGTCGTCAAACACCTGGAACTTTTTTCAGACATGCGATCCCGCAAACCCGGGCAAAGATTGTACCACTGCCCGCCCCACTTCCGGACCAACTAGACGAATGACGTTTGGGACATAGGATCTACCGACTAGGGGGAGCATTCGCTATCTAAAAGCCAGGGGAAGCGCTCGTCGGTGTTCACACAGGAAAATAGACCGGCCGCTGCCCCTTTTCTTGTGGAAATATTTTTGGCTATCATCTCGTGGACAGCCAGTCAAAACTTGACCTGAAAGGCGATTCCATGCTATCTGAGCGCTCTTTGGACAGCTCGGGCGCTCAGATCCAGGATATTCGGAGATATAACTTTTGGGGGTTCAGGTATGTTTCAGATATGTTTTTGGGATATTTTATGAAATATTGCATAGTTTCATGTGCCTGAGAGATAATTGAGTTATCCTCCTTTAGACTCAGTTTATCTCCCAGACACAGGGACACCTGGAAGGGGTTCAATTAGTGTGGCTCAATTAGACATGTGCAATTAGTTTCGTTCCGAATGTCAATTCGGACATTCGTATACTTCCGAATGTCCAAATAGCCGAATTGCCGAAGTGCCGAATTTCCGATGTGCTGAAGTTCCGTAATTTCTGAATTTCTGAAGTGTTGAAGTTCCGAAGTGTCGAAGTTTCGAAGTTGCCGAAGTTCCGAAGTGTTGAACTGCCGAAGTTCCGAAGCACAGTATTGCCGAAGTACTAATATACATACCCAGTGGAAGAATGAAGAATGTTACACTGTATACAAGTTTAAATAAAAGGTATACAAACATAGCCAAGATTCAGCTGTAAGCATTTGCAACAATCAAGTAACACACATTCATATAAAATGTAAGTTACTTAGCCTGTCAATGGAATGACAGGAATGAATAAGTAGATAACTCCCTAATTCCCACGGTATTAGGGAGCTATCTACTAAAAGGCTGAAAGACCTACATTGGTCTTTCAGCCACATTTACTAATACTAAGTAAAGATTACTTAGTATTAGTAAATTATGCCCCTACTCGCTATACTACGAGTAGGGGCATGTCTAATAAACAGGGAGCAGCCCGTGGCTGTTCACTGTAAAAAAACAAAACAAAACAAAAAAAACATTTCTGGCCCCACCCCTAAATGGTGGGAGCCCTAAAGTAAAATAAGGGGGTGGACCTATTGTCCTTCCCCCCGGCCCCCACCCCTGAACGGTGGGTGGGGGCCCTAAAGTAAAATAATGGGGGAGACCTATTGTCCTACCCCCTGGACCCCACCCCTGAGCGGCGGGTGGGGGCCCTAAGTAAGAATAAGGGGGGGACCTATTGTCCTCCCCCTGGCCCGACCCCTGAGCGGTGGGTGGGGGCCCTAAATTAGAGTAAGGGCGGGGACCTATTGTCCTCCCCCCTACCCCCCACCCCTGAGCACTGGGTGGGGGCCCTAAATACCAATTGAGGGGGACCTATTGTCCCCCCCGACCCCCACCCCTGAGCAGTGGGTGGGGGCCCTAAATTAGAAAATAGGGGGGAGACCTATTGTCCTCCCCTTGGCCCCCACCCCTGAGCAGCAGGTGGGGGCCCTAAATAAAAATGTAGCCCCCCCAGGTGACTAGGGGTCACCAAATCCCTAGTCACCCCCTCCTAAAAAAAATAAACCCTACCTACCCCCCTCACCCTAAAAATAGTGAGGGGGGGACCAATAAATAGGTACCTGTAAAAAAAATTTAAATAAACTTAC